AAGCATGATAAGTATATGAATTATAAGGGCTGGCTTTAACATTTTTTAAAAAATTATTTTAATTTACTTTAAAGGACAGAACAGCCGAGATGGACCAATAGGTCCCATCTTGTCCCAAAACATTATGTTATATAAAGGCTATGTGTTCCGAAGATTATTGCATTATTTAATTTAAAAATGAAATTACTCTAAAACTTACTTTGCAATATCTGAGACCTTTACATAACGTTTAAAAGATTACAAAATCATAACATCACAAATGATAATTATTTTGTTGAAAATACTTGGTATTAGTAATAGTTACCCTTAAACTTTCATAACATTAACACTATAATACAAGTGCTTCAACAGTCCAGCTTAAGTCTGTTCCACTTAACTAAAAAGTTAAGACTATAAACTCCTAGAACTATTATTAATAGTATTAACACGAACAGTAGTACTAATAGCACTGCTAGTAATATCATATTATTATTTCCCAAGTAACTATCAGTATTAGGAACAGCAATAACGATATATAGTAATTAATAATGATATTATTGATAATACTATTATTATTAGTAGCAGTACTGTCAAAATCAGTATTACTATACTAATACTAGTAGTTATACCAATTATAATTCAATACAAAATTGCCATTATGATTACATACACCTTCCTTTCTGATCACTCACTTAGCTGATTTAAATGGAAGCAACAGAGCACAACCACTTAAGTAAAGGTACTATAACTTTTTTCTTATCTTTTAAAATTTATTTCTTCATTACTCAGATCTTCTCCCGCCAGACGCCATTTTCTCTACACAAATTTTCTACACATGCGCTAAAGACTTCGTTTAGTGGTTCATTTTAGAATAATATTCTTTATTATTTAAAATATTTTCAATATATGCTAATATAAAATATTATGTTTTGTTTTTATAACTTTTATTAAAAGAAAAGTTTTGTAAATTTATGGAAGTACTTGCAATCTTGTATTACTAGGTCTCAACCTATGCCAAAAATAATTCAACATAAAAGTTTTGATTAACAAGTAACAAACCATACAAGCATAATAGGTTTGTTTACTAAGCATAACGTAAACCTGCACAAGATAATTAAAAATAGTTAATTTAAAAATGGGAATAGGATCGTCAAAAACTACAGAAACAAGTTGAATCATAATGCAAAGATTCATGTTGCTTCAACTTGTTTCTGTATTTTTTTGACGATCGACATTTCCCTTTTTAAATTAAGAATTTCTAATTATCTTGTTTCTTAAGGTTTGTTTTATATTCATTTATGGACAATAAATTTTAACTACATACGTGCATATACATTCAGTTGAATGTTACATGTTTTCCAACAGTTTACGGGCCTCCCAGTGCGAACTTACAGCGCTAGAAACCGGGGTTTGATACCCGTGGTGGGTAGAGTACATATATACTGAGTGGTCACAAGTAAATAGACAACTAATTTTTCGCCATTTAACTGATCTATGCTAATTAATTTGTGTTCACAGAGCACTATATAAATGAAAATGGTCCGCACAC